TGCTTTTGGTATTAAGGGAATTAACATCGCTGACCAGTGCGGAGTAAATGTGATTTGTATGTGTGTGATAAACAGTGACACACACACAAAACACACGACGTTAGATCCCATTTCACCTCATCTCCGAATATCTTGAAAGGCTGAGATGAGGAAGGCAATGACATCTCTCAGAAAATTCATCAAAGGTGCCTAATGCTGGTAGAATCCGTCAGCATACAGGACACATTTGCTGACTTGAGAAAAACACGTCTAATGATGTCCTCTTTCATTAGGTTGGATGCTTCAGGACAACAGTCTTATTAAGCTACGCACATTATTAGCGTTATTAATAATACAATCTACCTCCCACTGTAAACATCATCTTTTGGGTATACCGAACACGTGCTCAATGTATCCCAGCGATTCTCGCCTAATTTTATCTTGCTGAAAGGCGGAGTAGCATATTGTATATATACTTGCATGGGAAGATATCGGTAACGCCATTTTTAATTGATTTCCAGAAATAGTGACAGAATTTGCTTCTACAATTTCATTTATCATATATTCTTCAAAAACTTGCTTCATCCTTTCACATGGGATATTGTGTGCAATGTTTTATGTTTTCTTAAATTGGTTTAATGGGATAATATTAAATTTTGTTTCGTTTGGCTTCTTGACGTTCCCAATTGAACCTCTTTGGTTGCATGCGTGTTGTATGTCGTGTACTTGGTCTTGTGGGGCAACTTGCTCTTCCATTGGACTACCTACTGCATTCCTCCTAAATAATTCAGCGTCTGGAATTCCTGACTGAAAATATCAATATTTTTGTAAATGGTTTGCGTAAACTCATCCTAGCCCGTGTGTGCTTTATTCCAGGCAAAGGTGGGACAAAAAACACAACAAGCTATACATATTTAAGGTCTAAAAGTTGCAAGATCCCAAGTGGGAAATGACTGATATTAGTAAACACATTATATATCAAGTTGATTGAAAAAAATGCAGTTGATTGAAAATATGATTGGAATTCTGTTCTAACCCTTTGTGAAGGCATCATGTTTGTCGTGGCATTCTTGCAATATACCTATGAATGCAGGGTTATTGTATCAGAAAACTGTTGGAAGCAGTGCTAGTACTTGTCATAAATGCTATCCTTTTCCTTTTACACAGGAGACAATAGAGTGCAATATATGGATATTAAAATTCTTTCATTCGTGAGTGCGACGTTTCCATAGAGATGCTTGCACCATTGTCAAGCAGGATACATCCACACCGACACTACAAAACTGTTCCAGAAGCGTCTGATGGGTTTCGATATGAAAAGAGTCGGATTGAGGCAGCCGAATATGTAAATCATTTATTTAAAGTCCCGATTTATTGCTCTAATCCAACTGATTGTAAATGTAAGCGATAAAACCATGTCGTATTCATGTTAACATGTGCGGTGGGGCAACCAAGTGATTAAACCGTTCGCCTCGAAGAGCTGGGTTCAATCCCCCACTTGGTAACAATGTGTGAAACCCATTTCTGCTGTCCCCAGCAATGATGTTGGTTGATTGGTACCATAAAAGTGGCATAAAACTTTATGTACTCACTCACTTATGTTAACAACAGGAACCAAGGGTGGTGCTTAACTGTTTGCTTGCACCTATGACTCTCCTTACTCTCAACAAAGTGCGTGAGTGAGTGAGTTTTAACGTCACCTCGGTAATATGTCAGACATAAAGCAATGAGAAGAGTTATGCTAAAGGTTTAACATATCTGTCACAAAGTATAGTACAGCATTGGCAAGATATGACAATGTATGTCTATAAGCAAACGATTTCAAACATTAAAATATTTTATTTAACTCACAAAATTGCATCATACATTTAATACGGGCTGTAGATTGCCAGCAACTGAGAGTACATCACCATTATTACGGGCCGTGTGGTCTTAAAGTACTGCATGGACCTTGGCCAGAGTTACACCTTCCCTTCAGCCGATGGCGATTCTTCTCAAATTTAGCTATGTTTACAAATTTGGTATGCTTGAATTTAATTTGAATGTTTTGAGAGGATACTCTCATATGATAATACATTGACAAAGTGTTATTGTGAATCACAATTGTCTAGTTAGTATTTCAAATAGAAGTTTAAGTCCCTATCGGTGGCGATTGCCATTCTTTCAAACAGGTTAGATCATTAACTGGAAATTATTGAAGGAACGCTTGAATTTTCCTGTGTTCCTTTATTTGTTTCTCGCAGTATATATCCATCGTCAGTTCACTGTCGAAACACCTATGCCCATCCTAAAAGACAGAAAAAGTCAAAGTTTCATTAAGTAAAGTTTGTACAACACCAGTGAACACTTAAATCACTGAAGTCGAAGTCAACAATCCTGTTAATATCACGGATTATGTTCCTTTTGTGGGGTCGCGTAAGTTACTCATCGTTACTCATCTTCAATCCCAGTAATGTAGATATTTGATGTATCGGGTTAGGTGTGCAAGTGGTTACCAACGGAACTATCAGAAGATCAGATTGGTTGACCGACACTGGTGTTCATAAAACTTATAAGATGTTCCTGTGGGGTACTTCAGAAATTTATTCCGAAACCATTGGTGAACGTTAAAACCTTTAGTAGTCTGCAGTGTGTGCTCACTGCTGCCATTCATCACGAACATCTCGCAAAAACTGACCAGAAAACATAGCTTGTTTGAATTCGCCCCTTCCTTGTTGCAGCGACGGAATACTTGCGTGAGAATGTAAATTAACAAATTCCCCATGAAACTGTGTTCAGTCAATAGCCCAACAATTAGTAAATTGTTGAGTATCCATATTGTCTCATATGAGACTGACTGACTGAGTTTGGTTTTACGCCGCTTTTAGCAATATTCCAGCAACATCACGGCGGGGGACACCAGAAATGGGCTTCACACATTGTACCCATGCGGGGATTCGAACCCGGGTCTTCGGCGTGACGAACCAACGCTTTAAGCAATATGCTACCCCACCGCCCCTCTCATATGAGAGGCTTTCTCAGGCGACCATTATGATTTGTTGCCATGACACCTAGTAATGACATGATGCATGCAATGCAAAATAATTTCACACTTTTGAATTGCATCTTATTGTGATAGTCCAAAGAAAACCACAAAACATGTATCAGGTTATGAAAAGTCGCAACAAACACTACCATCATTTTGTTTTGTTTAATAGGTGAAGCTGAACTCACTCACTACTACCAATCTATCCACTTCTGACTACCCACATCTGTCTATCCACCTATTCCCGTGTATCAGTGCAAATAACTCTGCATACAATACTGGAGCTGGTTATGTGCTTCCTAACATACTGGGAAGAACATTTTTAGGTTGTAACCTTTTGAAATATAAACAAAGTAAGCGATACTTGCTTACTGATACCATTTTCCATAGCATTGTGACGTGAAAGACACGTAACTTTAGGGACATTGACATGATTTATTTTAATTTATTATACTTACATCTAGAAAATTATTAAACTATTTTTTATTTAAAGCTAGTTTGTGTATGAGCAGAAAATGTTTTGAAATTTTCTTTGAGTTCAAGACTTTTTTTATTGTTTTGTTGTTACATTTACTAACAAATTTGTCCATATGTGTCCAGATATGGAAAAATCACGGAGAATGTATTCTGTATTTATATTTTACGTGGATCAGTTCAAAATACTCAAGGTAAATACAGTAAAATACCACAACCAGGTATGCTTACTAATAACCCTTTGTCCTGCATTATAATGGGAAAGACACAAAACCATAGGAATATTAACATTACTTATTATTTATTATACTTAAATAACACGATAATATATTTAAAAAACATAAGCTCTCTCAGAACAACACCTTCCGAAAATAAAATGAGGTACAGGGCCAAAACCTTTCGGAATTCTTACAATCTAATAGAAGGCACCCAACACATACCGAAGGAATCCAGTAAATGAACATTTGCAAATATACATAAAATCTAAGACATTTATTCACTAATCAAAACCATTTTGGGATAAAAGTTATTTCTCATGTCATTACTATCCTCGAAAGTAAACTTCGGCATCCAGTGGGTGATGGTAGTGAGTGAGTGAGTTTATTTTTACGCCGCTTTTAGCAATATTCCAGCAATATCACGGCGGGGGACACCAGAAATGGGCTTAACACATTGTACCCACGTGGGGAATCGAACCCGGGTTTTCGGCGTGACGAGCGAACGCTTTAACCACTAGGCTACCCCACCGCCCCGGGTGATGGTAGATATCTGTGGAAACTAAAACAACATAACCCTCTCCAGAATCGTGAGAAATGTCTGCTTAATGCAATGCCCATTGTGTGAATCCCACCTTATCTTAGGCATTGTGTATAGTGATTATACCAAATGATCCCGGCCAGGTGAATAGTTGCTGTCTCACACACGGCAGAATTCACAAACACATGCAAACATATGCAGTTTCTCTTACTTGTTAGATAGATAGCACAAATACGACAACAAAGCAAGACTTATCAGAACGTTCGCTGATGACTTCAAAAAACGACTGACGTGCACATGTAGATCCTCTCGCAATTGTGTTATGCAAACATCTTCATCAAATTGGCACCACCAAGAATCATTCCACATTCACTCCATTGGTAATCGGAAAACACAAATATGTGTGACAATTTATCAGACGTATACGCCACTGGAGTCTTGAGTAGACATACAATGTCTTGTACATATTTCTCCTCGTCATCTAGTTCCTTGTAAATTGGTACGTCATAATGCTGATTGTTTATTGTTGTCTTTCATGATCAATCACATTATAGCTGGAACCACTGGTGGCCGTTGGATTTCCTGAAACCTATGATGCCATTTAAATGATTTTATTTTCTAACTTGCTTGCCACCGAATTGTCGCACATATTGCAATAAAGAAGTTATCTATACCTCATCTGTCCATATCCTGTTTATTGATTCGTCGGTACACAATTACTATGAGAACTATTACCTCAAACTGTCCAGATTTGTTCATTTCTTAATTTTGGTTGAAAGTCCCGCTTAACAGACAGGCTCACTCACTCAATATCTCATCTACCTGTAAGTTCTCAAACACTCCATCAGTCCAAACCGCCCATCCACGCTAAGTCTCACTCATTCACTTTTCGCATTTAAAAAGTAGTTCTATGCCTGCCACTGTGTTGACGGACGACTACCCATACTGATGTACTCAGAGCTTACAACTTCAGATTTACGTTTGCAACAAAGTTCAAGGAACAGACATCTGAATTTTCTAGCACTCATGGAATACAAATAGAAGTTGATAGCATGAGTGGAATCACACAAGACATAGGCGATTGTGTCAATGAGATAAAGAACCGCTCCCTCCATAGACTTGTTAGAAGGGTTCAAGTAGGGGGACATTATCAGCAACACACATCTCGGTGTAGTAAGAACCACAAGGGCAATCGCTGATGTCACGAGCATGATAGTGATTTGACGGTGTCGATCCGCTTGGGCACTGTCAGTTTTCGAGTCGCTTCTATTCAGGTATTTGCGAGTCTTGGTAGATTTTACAATTCCTGCAATGATGAGCAGGTTGAAGATGAGAAGAAGGACACACGGGATTACGGCATACACAAGGACGTTAATCCAGTACCACACATGAACCATGAAGTAGATGTATTTCCCGTTGATGTTACAGAAAACACTCTTGGTGGAAGCATAATAATGATAATCCATCGTCCAGAAGAGATGAAGAAAGAGCCCAATGAGGGGCAAGGTTATCGACATCACGACTGTCAAGGATTTCTTGAAGGTCCAGATCTTGCCTATCTGGAAAGGGAACCACACTGCAGCAAATCTCTCCACGGAGAGTCCAACAAGAAGCCAGTTGCCGTACGTGATGAGGAAGTTCCCGAAGAATCCCAGAAACTTGCAGCCACATATTCCAATCTGGACTCCGTTGTCTGTGAGGACAAACATCAGAAGCTTGTTAACGATGGCAAGGTTGTCGACGATGGCGAGGAGGGCGATGTAGACAGCGAGGGACCTCTGAGGGGACATCTTGATGATTGTGATGATGGTGAAACAGTTTCCTGGAAATCCCAAGGCAAAGATGGCCCACAAATAATAGGTTTCTATGTTAAATGCTAAAGCGTCTATTTGTGCCCAGTCGTTGTCCTCCTGAGAAGGGGTCCATGATGTTATTTCAAACTCCAGTGTTGTATTTAGTTCCATTTTAATACTTTGAATGCAGTTTACTGGGTAGAATAATACTCTAACGTCATATCATATCAATGAAAATTGACCACCACAGATTGCATCTTAGCGTCCGATTCAGTTAAATATGGGATGCAGTTTAATCGCCTGGTGAGCTGGTCTGTCCGATGAACTTTTCCGGGTTGTACTTCCATTCGTGGTTTCATCAACAGGGAATCTGTTTCTTATTCTGAAACAAATTCATTCCAATATTTAGATTTATGAGACGAAAAAATGTATCCTTCGACGAGAAAATACTTGCAATGTTTTGATGTTGTTTTCCAATCATACTCAACAATGTACCAACTAGATGACGGCGGCCTGTGTCTAAACCAGGCAATTTATATTTCATTTGATTGACATTTTGAACAAAGATCCACGACATATGAATATGAAAACCCGTCATCCACAAAGTCATCAATCCTAATGACGTGACTCATTCAGAGGTATTGATCGACCAACAATGTTTTCCGAGGACTAATAACAAAACGACACAGGTGTCGTTTGTAGCAATGTAATTTATCTCAAAGCATTGTCAGCTGCGCCAACTAAAACATTATTTCGCCAGTTATTAAAGTACATACAGATGGCACAGTATTTTAATAATAATGCTACTTTTTGCGTCAAGAATCCAACGCGATGATGATCGCTGGCGTTAAATTATTACCCTGATGGAATTGTACTTTCAAAGCTGCTACTAAGCGCTAAGCGCGACCGTATAGGTCCGTACATCCGCTTTTCAGGTACCCATTTTAAACAGTTGGGTGGACTGAGTGCAATGTGGACGAAGTGCCTTGCCCAGGGACACAACACAGTATGAGACCCAGGTCACAAATTTTGGCGTCTCCGCGGAAAACGAACCTGGGCCTTTGGCGTGAGAGGCCATGATGCTAACCACTACACCACTGTGCTCCACATAACGACTTGTGCTTATTATGCTTGAAGCTAATAAAGGCACTGAAGACCAGGCCCCGATTTCTCGAAACAACTTAATTTCATGACATAAATTTCAAACTGAGTTTGACAATTTGAAACAGCTGAAATTTTAACTCAAGTGCATTTGTTAAAATAAAAAAAAGCCCAATCAACTTACGTAATCTATCCATCAAACTCAAATTGTCTACTATGTTTGAGTTTAATATCGATTTTAGTTCATTATGGGAAATGCATTTTCTCAAAATTCAGTGAAAACCTAAGTTTGTTTCGAGAAATTGGGGCCAGATCTCTCCCAAAAACTTGACATCTCCTTAATACCGAACTAAATTAAGAGATATTTAGATGGTGAAGAGTATTTGTTTGATTTCACTCCGCTTGTGCTCTTGCTAGCAATGCATTACGTATATTCAAAAAGTCAATACCGGGGACTAATTAGTCTTGAATTTCTGCCGAGACGGATTCTATAAGGAGTAAAATGCAAAATAGCTTAAAAACAGTATTTGAATATCACAAAGTGAAAATGTGTTTAATCTAAAGATTAATATTCTCCCAGAAAACCCAAGTGATGAACGTCTTCATCAAGATATACAACAAGATAGTGGATGGCAATATTGACTGCTAACTCTCTGGCATAGGCGTCTCTAGTTGCATGTACATGCAAATCCTGTGTTACAGGAATTGCGTGTTAGTGTGAAATGTCTAAGTTAATTCTACATCGAAGAATCATTTAGGACCTTTTGTGCAAAATTCCGAACCCCTCTACTAATAGGGATAAATGTAAATGTTACAAATAAGAAATCGAAGAAATGAATACATAAATGAGTCCACATGTTCTGTATTCCATATGGACTTGTCTGCTTAATGAGCATAGAGTTTATTAGTATTTAAGGTAAATGTTTATGAACGGTAAAAATTATTATTCTCGTCCTCAATTGATTAACACGTACTGAAATAATGAATGAAATATATTTCAAATATTTTTAAACAATTTCAGTGTATACTTATTATTAATAGCATTGTATTTCCTTTAAATCCACAATGCATAATATAATATGTTTAAAATGACTTACCGTTGCCACGCGAGAGCCTGAGTTAAGAGAAAGGCAGTATACAACAGTCGCCCTCAACAGCTGATTCACAAATACCAACATCTGTACATAAGCTCGAGATCGATAAACGTGCCACAACCCTTACTGTGTCTTTTGTGGGAGGCGGATGTATAACTCCATCATTGCTGTATCAGGGGTCGGGGAAAGCTACGGGCTGACTGAGTATTGGGCGGAACAGTATGCTTCTTTATCTCATTGGCTTGTGTTCACAGTTCCAGTGTTGTGAAGCTGATAGGCATAGTTCGGAAGTTGACGGGTCAATACTCTATGTCTGGTCAACGACTGGCTGAACGAACACGGGATGAGCTTGAATGTAATTTTATAATCTGTTGGTGCGGTCGCTCATGCACTAAGTCAGTTTTGACTCTGCTTTTACCAGTACCCCCGTAATGTCGCTGTGTGGAAGTTTTATGTGGACAGAGAGCTCGGAGTACTGAACGTTATAGAGACCCACTGAACAATGACAGATGCATGACCAACATGGTCATTCCTTGAAATGTACTTCAAACCACGTGTTGTAAAAATCTCCATACTACTTCACAAATATGATATGGTGAGTGAGTTTCCCCATACATTTTACAGAGCATACTCATGTGGAAAGTCGACCAGTACCCTTCGGTGTGATGGTCCAACATCCACTGTCCAAACATATGGTTACTTTGAATGATGTGAAATGTGTGTTTCTGCTAATATATGAACTGTGTTAAATATTCCATCACAAGGGATAACTATTTCAAAGCACGAACAATGAAGGATCTTTTTAACTAATATAAGTTCTCATTTAATTATTGCATTTTAAAAAGAATTAGACTTGTTAACTGATTTGTAAATAGATATATATTTTATTATTGGTAGTTTAGATTAGTAATTGAGATTGTTAGTGGCTGTACCCTCAAAGGGGGTTGAAGTAGCGAAAGATTATTGTCCTCCTGAGAGGGTACGTAAGTCCCGAAACATTCAAAGGAAATTTAAATTTACCAGCTGTTTTAAATGTAGTATTCTTGTCATTTTAACTGTTGGCTAAATTTTCCTACAGTCGCCAGCGGCTGAAGGGATGATATAAATCCAGCTAGAGTCCATGCAGGTAGCAAAAGTACTGTAAGTCCCAATGGTCCCTAGTTTGGTGATCAACCTTCAGTTGTTGGCGATCTACAGCCAGTTTTTTATATTGTATTGTCCAAATAGTGCTATTAGTTTTAACTTTCCACACTAGTTTTAGTTGTAATTGTGATATACTGGTTGTTTTACTGTCCTTCGTAGACAGGTTTTTATCATATACATATATTCCATTTCAATGTCAAATATGTTTCGTCACGATATGGCTGAGATATTGCCGATGTGACGTTAAATATTAACTCAGTCACTCACTCACTTCACTGCTGATATATGTAAATAAGTGTCATCACTTCGTCAGTAGCATCACTTGCACATCATCATCATCAATTTGTGTCTTGATGTTCTCCCATAAGTCCTGATTGTGCGGCTGCTTGTACTAGCCCAGACTGAAGCTGGTTTTATAGTGCTAGCTCATTTAGATACCATGCCGCAGTGAAGCATGAATACCCCACTCAGACATAGTGTATGGCTGTTGTTTCTTTGTACTAGCCCACTCAGACACAGTATACTGACTCCGAGCCGACCAGTCCTTGTTGTACCCATTAATGCCGAGCCCCAGGCAGGGAACAACAAGTACCATATTTTAACGTCTTTTGGTATGACGCGGTCGGGCATTGAACCCGCGACCTCACGCTCTCCAGGCCAAACAAAATAGGTTAGTATGTATCCTGTGATGGCAATTTGCAAACACACCTCAGCTCACCAACTGTTGTTGATTATCTCAGTCCAACTGGTCATTAAACGATTCAAGCTTAACATTTCTTTGCAAACTATCATAATTGTACAAGCAAAATAGAACAAAATCCAGAACAGAACTGAAATTCTACCAGAGAAAGCAGTTGCCATTTGCAAAATGACGTTATTCTCAATAACAATGGCTGATAATAGATTACATAATCTAAAACCGACATGTTTTTTTATGCCCGGTTTCCAATATTGCAATCTATCTTAGTCCTTAATGCTGCAGATTCGTAACCTGACGTCATCGTTGTCATTGTGCAAGATGACACATGGACAGCCATCATCCGTCAAAACGACTTGATCAGTTTGAAATCTTCATATATATAGCAAATTTAATGTCTTAACACATTATGATATGGTTCTTGACATTTTGAAATAATCAGTCCTTGCAATAAAGCAATTGCTTTACCATTTGAGGTGTGACGTTATTTTTGGGTTGCCATTTCAGTTGAAGATGGTAATTGTACTTGTTTGAAACATATTATTCAATTTTCAGTTTCCACAATCTTGTGAAAACGTCTTGGCGGAAGAAATCACGTACATGTGTTATCTTAATGGTGTTTTCGACAAATCTCCATCACCAAAGATATATCAGTCTCGATTATCCTGTATCTGGATACAGACATTAAAGGTCAACGAGTGCTTCAAAGTGTATGAAAGGGTCACAGGAAATCAGCCATAACACCTGGTGTCATTAGAAATATAGTGAAACATCATATCTGGGGTGAAACAGTTTCTGTTATCGGATGATAAGTTTAACATCAAAATCTTTTGTTAGAACAAATATTTTTCAAACCATCTCTCTTTATTCTGAAAAGCCTTGTAATATGTGGCTTCATAAAATATAGGGAATCAACACGTCCTCGTGGAGAAATCGAACCCAGGTCTTCGGTGAGAGGAGCAAACGCATTAACCACTAGGCTATGCAACCACCCCTCACTATGTAAAGACATGCTGCCACACTGGTGGTTTCACCATCGGGATAATATGTGAGTACCTACTCCTTGCTGGTTCTCAGAGGCAAATAATTTGCTCACCGTGAAGAATCCGGGTTCAACAAGGATCGACTAATGATATCAGGTTCGTTCATTTGGTTGATGCATGGCGACGTATCATTATTATTATGTTCTGAGACTGATGCTTACTGTATTTTCTGGTTGGGCTCGATTATCTACTAATGACTATCGCATTGGTAGAATACTGTTGAAAGAAGAGTTACAAATACCACCTGTCCACCCCTATCATTTCGTTTACAAGCCACATCTATTTTAAATGCTCATGAATCAAAAGATATATGGCACCTCCGCTCCCCAAAACAAACAAAAAAGAAGAAGAAAAGGTCACTCTTGCTATTGGTTCATTTGGGTTCAGAATATTGAACACTACACTCAAAAGTGGAGAAACTGGTCAATTGTTGGTTTTCCTCAATTCAGGTGACAATGAAAGTAAATGGATACCCAGTGTCTATTAGCATTCATTCTTTCACGCATCAGCGATGGTCAGGAGTGTGTCCAGCTGATTAGCACAAAAGGAGGTCTTGGTTTGAGTTCAAGGACAGTGATACATTATTTCTATGCCTTCCAATGTTGGCATAAACATTATCATACAGAAATATTTTATCCTATATATTAAACGTTTCAACATTAAGACCGACTGTGAGTATCATTAATTAAACATGACATATTACTCACGGTATGGATAACCGTATTGAATTGATTCCATTTCGGAATCCTAAGAAGGGATTATATACCCAGTAAATGTCACATTTAGAAAATATGGTCAACCTGCCTGTTTCCCCGGTGTCAATGTTTCAATATACCTGGGGTCTCTCTTCGTACTATTCAATGCAGTTCTGAAAAAAGCAGAACATGTAACCAATAATGCACACAATCCATGTACTCAAGATTGGATATAACAAATAGGTCCATGATGTAATGAAACATATGCAGGTTATCTTATTGCCGTTTTTGTCTTTTCAGCATTTCTCTGTTACATGTTGAATTTACTTTGTATGTAGATTTCAGAAGAAGCGAGAATAGCTCCTTTTAGGAGTTAGAAACAGTTGGTGGTTCTCAAGAAAGTGCGACAGTGCAATAATGCATGAAAGCCATAGCTCGCTATTACCATTGGTTGTCTCGCTATCGCTAAATCCTTCGCCGGCCTTTCAGAGATTATATATGTCTCTACCCAATCTTTAGCAAACCCACGTTGGGTTGGTGAAGGACAGAACTTTGGCCGGGTGTGAGATAATCCAATATTCGAAAACCGCAGGGTCTGATAAACGCACAAGTTATAACTCATTAAATTGATTCTAATATAAAAATATATCACTGTCAACATTATACAGTTTGTCCACCTGTATAGGTCGAGTGTACTTGTGTGGAGTACAAATCAGCCGATACTAGATTTGGTTTACCCCATGATAGTTTGGCTTTTTTTCTGACATATTTGTCAGCTATTCGTCGTTATCGAAGCTAATTAAATCGGTCCTCTGAGGCTGTAATAGAAATAGGATCGCAAGGCTATGGGCAGACAGCTTCGGAAATGTTCAGCCTCTGTCAACTCAATGACGCACACAATTTGTAAATGTGATTGCCAAAAAATAGTGATCTTTTTAAGTAGGTTGAGAATTGGGCCCCGGGCTATGGGTGATTAAAAGTAAGCCAGAACATATATCAATTGATTGGAGATGTATTTGACACTCAGCGTGTGCAATGATCAAGTTTCACTTCAGCGAGGGGGTAAGCTTTATCTGATTACTCTAGTGAGTCTCATGACAACTGAAAACAAGCAATCCCAGAATGGGAACACGGTGCTTGTTATTCCTTGCGTCACAGTCGTAATCTCCAAACACGTTTCAAGTGGATTAGTCTAAGTCTTTCCGCTGGTTTCACATACATGTCAGCTGTAAAACTAACCATTCGAAATTGGACCCTTGTGGTTTATTGAAGAACTGTTCTGTTTTCAATACAGATCTCGCTGTATGCCAGCAACAATCTCTTCTATTCAATGAACATTCGAGTGTCTGGACAACTTGTCCCTTTAAAACTGTTTTGCTGGTAAGGGATAATAAGTTGCTTTGTTCAAGGCATAAAATGAAACAGGCTAACGAAAACAGTTGTTAACTGTTGCGCTCTCTGTGCTTTATG